CGAATCTATATAGCCTGTTACCATATCGAATATTGTAGGCAGTTATAGTATGATATTTGTGTATCAAAACATACGCAGACATAGAAAAGATAATTGTGTTGTGCTATGAGTTTATGATGGCTACAAATGTCACTAGGTGGTGAGAATTTTTTAGCCCCATGATAATCTTAATGGGACCACCATCATATATGTGGTCCTTTGTTGACTGAAGTGTTGTTATACAGCTAATGACTAGTTAGTCAAAAAAATCTAGTTCTGTGATTGGTTTTGTTCCCTCCTTTCTTCTGATCACTGTTCATTCAATACTTTTTATATGACATGCACAAGGTATGCAAAAATTATCCCCCTATTTTCAGTGGCTGTGTCTGTTGCTGACCCAGATAACTTCACTTCCTTCAGCTGTGCTTTCATTTTCAACTTCTCTAGTTAGAAATAAATCCTCTTGTGTTGCCCCTTGAGGGAGGAATCGTTTAGCAGGAAGTCACTTACTAATCACAGCTCATTAATCACATATGAAGAATACTTTTTAAATGTCAACTGTCATTCATAGAAAATATATGTTACTTTGAGGAATCTCTATGAATTACTTATTCATTTTCATTGCCTTTCACACATCATATTGTTTTGGAGTTTATTTCAAATATAAATTGACTTATATACAGTCTTGCAAAAAAGAGAGATAGCAGTTGCACCTTTTCTTTGATTTACTTGTTATCTTACTGGTCATGTAATTAGTCTGTTAAAGTCACTCTGCCTGTATAGCTTGTTGAAGGTTGCAGACAGTGGAGTGCTGGAACTGGCTCACATCGAGACCTCTTCCCAATTCCATGTTCAGTGATGTCTTTGTTGGTAGATTAAAATTGGCTATGGTGAGAGAGTTTATGCTTTGTAAATTGGCAGATGCTACAACCATGGTTCTGCCCTCTTCTAGACAGTCACTTATTAAACCTTTAGTAGCACTTATTGTTTACAGTATTATCTTTCCTTTTGTTTGTTTTTTAAACACTTTTATTATGAGGAATAGCCATGTAGAATTTTATTTCCAGATATACTGTTGTTTGAAACACTAAGAACGTCACTCATTATACCAATTGCCAACTAAGTAACTAAGCAAATTACTTAGCCTTTATGTGCCCAAGTGTCCTTATCTGTAAGACAGGGATAATAATAGCAGGGACCTTGGGACTGATGTGAGGTTGAATAAGAAATATGCTTATTTCAGTGCATATATAATGACCTGGACTGAGCATTCAAGCAATGCTACCTCTGATCTCCCTGTACTTTAATTAATATATATTTATTGATCCCACTGCCTAGTATTTTGATGTGTACACTGGGTCATCTGTTGAGACTCAATACCTCTCACATTGAGTATTAGCCACATTGACCTGCGGCAGATGACTTCTTTTGATGTTCCCATGTAATGCCCCCTTTTTTTTTTCATTTGTTTGTTTTTATTTTTTGGTCTGTCTGCCTGGGACTCTTTTTCTTCCTACATGAGTTTTGCAGATCTTTTTCATATTTATATTTGATTCATACAGTCCCTCCTCTAGAAAGCTTCTCCTCACTCTAGACCTAGCGACATAATGGTTTTGCCTCTTTGCTTATGTAGTTTGGAGTACAAATCATAATTGTACTATGTATAATTGTACTATGTACTAACTAATATGCATCTTACTCCATCTCTACATTTGGTTTCACAGCCTATGACTTACTGCCTTTGTGTTCTTACCCTCTTAGTAAGAAATGCTTGACACATAGTAGACCTACTGGAAGTGTACATTGAATGGTTGTTGGTTAAAGAAATAAAACAGGGACTTCGCTCATAGAGACCTTACTATTTGGTTGAAAAGATAATACATACACTTGTGACATGAAGGTAAACACAGAATATATTGAAGATATCTATATTTTAATTTTTTTAGTTTATAATTAATTTTTACATACCTATATTTTTTGTTGTAGGTAAGTCAATTACTTTCATGGTACACATGTGGACATTTATGTACATACGTACAAATACATTGATTTAGATCACGTAGACAAGATTTTAAGTAGCAAAGCCAAGTTTGTAAACCAGGTTTTGGGACTTCAGGTCAGAAATATGAAAAAAAAAAAATCCTTGTTTACTCTTCTACACACGAACTTATTTTTTTTTTCCTGTGATTTCTGTCTTTTTTTGTAAGTTTAAAAAATTCTTATGGCAATTTTTAAATGTACATAATATTAGAGAAAACAATCTAGCAACCTTCTCTGTATATCTGTTAGTTAGCATTTTGTATGCATGTATCCATGTGTGTATCAACCAACATTTTGGCCTTCTCATTTTATTAACTTTCACACTCCTTTTATCCCTGTTGTATGTTAAAACAAGTCTCAGACATCCTATCATGTTACCTATACTTCTTCAGTAGTATCTCTAACAGTTAAGAACTTACTTAAATATAACATCATTTCTAAATCTATGCAAATTGACAATAATTTATTTATTTATTTATTTTTTTGAGACAGAGTCTTGTTCTTTTGCCAGGATGCAGTGCAGTGGTGCCATCTTGGCTCACTGTAACCTCTGCCTCCCAGTTCAAGAGATTCCCCTGCCTCAGCTTCCTGAGTAGCTGGGACTATAGGCGCTGGCCACCATGCCTGGTTAATTTTTTGTATTTTTTAATGAAGACGAGATTTCACCATGTTGGCTATGATGGTCTGGATCTCCTGACCTTGTGATGCCCCCTCTCAGCCTCCCAAAGTGCTGTGATTACAGGTGTGAGCCACTATGCCTGGCCAATTGACAATAATTTTATTGTATCATTTGATAGCCATTTTATGTTTAACTGTTTCTGATTGCCACAGCAATGTCTTTTTTTTAATAAGTACATTTTTCCAGTCAGCATCTGCATTTCATTTGGGTTTTATGTCTTTTAAGATTCTTTTGATCTATAACAATTGCTCTTCCCTTTTCCCCCTCATGCCTTTAAAAAAAAAATTCAACTCATCATCCTGGAGAATATCTGAAATTCTGAATTATCTGATTTCTTCACTATGGTGTCATTTAGCTTGTTACTCCATCATCCTTATTTTCTGTAAACTAAAAATTAGAGTTGAGTTTAACTTTAATGTGATTTATCATTATTTGGGAGGAACATTTCCTAGAAGGTTCTATAAACTTTCTATTTCATCATATTGAGAGAACATAATTTTAGTTATCCCTACTTTTAATGATGTTACAGTCTATCAGTGAATCAGGTTGGCCTGGGCCAATCCTTATAAAGTTCTTCATGAGACTTGGATCCAGTGATTTCACCTCATTGTTGATTTTTTTGTAGCCATGATATTTTTTAGGGATTGCAAAATAGTGACTTTTAATTATGCAATTTCTGGTACATTTATTATCAAGAATTTTTTTCATAAGGAACTTTTCTTAGTAACTATTGGCAACTTCAAATTAGTTTATATCAGAAAAAGGGAGAAAATGCATGATTTTTATTTATCAATTTTCAGAATCAGATATTCACTTCTAATATAAGATTTAAATAAAGTTACACATGTATTCAAGGATGCTAATAAATTTTTCTAAAAAAAATTTCCCTTGGAGAAATTCTTTTTTGAGATGGAATTTTGCTCTTGTCACCCAGGCTGGAGTGCAGTGGTGCAATCTTGGCTCACTGCAACCTCTGCCTCCTGGGTTCAAGTGATTCTCTTGCCTCAACCTCCCAAGTAGCTGGGATTACAGGCATGCACCATCATGCCCAACTAATTTTTTTTTTTTAATTTTTTTTTTTTATTTTTAGTAGAGACAGGGTTTTACCATGTTGACCAAGCTGGTCTTGAACTCCTGACCTCAAGTGATCCTCTTGCCTTGGCCTCCCAAAGTGCTGGGATTACAGGCATGAACCACCACTCCTGGCTAAGAAATTCTTTGATTTGCTTTTCCTGATTTTTTTTTATTATTATGTTTTAATCACATTGCTTCCTATGGAGGTATTATCAGAAAAGTGTTCTTCCTTTTTGTTTATCATTAATGTGTCTCTATGATTGAATTTACTTACTCAGAATATATATATTGGGCATCTGTCTTTTTATCAAGCTCTGTGCTGATCCCTAAGGATATAGATATGAGCTCTGCTTTTTTCTTTTCCTCTTTTCTTTTTTTTTAAATTTGAGACAAGAGTCTTACTCTGTCATCCAGGCTGGACTGCAGTGGCACAATCTTGGCTCACTGCAACCTCCACCTCCCGGGTTCAAGCGATTCTTTTGCCTCAGCCTCCTAAGTAAGTGGGATAACACGCATGCGCCACCATGCCCAGCAAATTTTTGTATTTTTAGTAGAGATGGGGTTTCACCATGTTGGCCAGCCTGGTCTCAAACTCCTGACCTCAAGTGATCTGTCTGTCTTGGCCTCCCAAAGTGCTGGGATTACAGGCTTGAGCCACCTTGCCCAGCTGCTTTTGTCCTAGAATTATATAGTTTGGTTTTCCTTTCTACTCATGATGTGATTTTAAATATTGAACCTGTTGTATATTAATGTGGTTTTCTGAACTATAATATTTGGTGTCTCATACTGCACATTTTAACTAGCAATTTTTTTAGCTCTCTTTGGAATTTTTGGCTTTAGTATCTAAAATAGTGGCAGTAAAGGGATTTGAAAGTTAAATTGTTCTTGCTGACCCAAGGAAAAATCAGATATTTCTGTTTAGGACACAGTATGTGACAAGGAAGGTTTTATTTATTTTTTTGAAGTAGTAAGAATTGAAGAGAGAATAATGAGAATTCCTCCAAGATTAAAAGTAAATAAGATACTGTGCTGTTTTGATATAAGCAAACTTTTGAACTTAATTTGACTTCTATATTCAGTAAATTAGAGTGAAATTTCAGGGATGTCTTTATCTCCTCCTATGGGGGTGTTTTGCCAAGATTTATTAAGGGTAATATTGGATTTTAGAAAATGTACAGTTTCTAAAGGCTTGTGAACTTTTAATATTGGTAGAAAATGTAAGTAAGACTAAGTAACACACTGTTGTCTCCAAGGGATCCTGTGACTGTGACACAAAAAGTGTAATACAATACTGAATTCACCAAAAGATGCACTGTTAATCTGGGGTTATATTATGCTGTTATTTTATTAGGCATGTGATATAATGCTATGAATTTTATAATAATTATTTAATTATTATAATTCTAAAAATCTTGTGAGGCGTTTTCTCTAAAGCTTTTTACTCAGCTTTTACTCATGTTCGGATAATGTGATGTAGCTGTTATAGTTATTTGAGATTAGGGTGGAGGCAAATTACTGACATATAATTAAATGTATTTTATAATTAAAAATTAGAATGGAAAAAGTTTACATTGTATGTATAAGGTTTTGCTGACATGCTTTATGACATTACAGAGAAGTACTAGAAGAAGGAGATCTTTAAAAGGAGTGAGATTTTGTTTGCTTTGCTAGAGCAGCTTACCAGGAAATTTGAAAGCTAAGGCCTTTAATTGTGGTATCTGATGATTCTAAAACTTATACTGAATTTAACTTTGAAGATCAAGACATGGATTTCTAAAAAATAGTATTTACTCTATCAAAAGAGTAGTTATATTTTTATTTGAGGAAATTGCTTAGTCCAAACAGCACAAAAATTGACAAAAAAGTTTGTTAATACATAAATATTGGCTATTTTAATCTGTTGAAAACGGAAGGCTAGTACCAAGGGAGACAGTAGTAAAATTATTAAAGGAGCTATTGAAAAGTAAACATTATGCAACATAAAAAGAAGGGAAAAACTGACAGAGTAGAATAACAGGAAGATTAGTCATTTCTGGAAGGAAAAAGTAGGTGGGGGCAGGGGATGAAGTATTTTAAACAGGAATGTGGAACTGGAAGTGCTAGTGCTAAAAGACAGATATGAACTCATTTGGGAGCCAAACTGGGCTTTGAAAAAGGATAAGGTAGCATTTAATATCAAAATTTAAAGATTGTATTAACAATAAGCAAAAACAAAAAATGGAGAAAATGTTCTGTTAGGGATTAAAAAATGTCTGTTAAAATAAAAATTATGTTTACTTCTTTGTGGAACTGACTTGGCTTCTCTCAGATAGCAATGTCAAATGCGAATCAAGAAAAAATATTTCTGAGGCCAAGACAGGGAAGTTACTTGATCCCAGGAGTTTGAGATCACCCTGAGCAACATAGTAAGACTCTGTCTCTACCAAAAAGAAAAGAAAAAAAATTAGCCAGGCAGGGTGATGAGCACCTGAAGTCACAGCTACTAAGGAGGCTGAGGTGGGAAGACTGCTTGAGCTTGGGAAGCCGAGGCTGTAGTGAGCCATGATCAGCTACTGCACTCCAGCCTGGGCAATGAAGCAAGACCCTATCTCAAAAAATATACATATACATATATTTTTGTGAAATACACATATTATATATACATATATATATATATAAACAAGCCAAAGTTCTTTTACTTTGAAGTAATGGATAAAATAAAAGCATTGTGGATATCATGGGATATATGTGCTATTTGGTTTGAAATAATTTTCACTTTTACATTTATCTGACAACTAAAGGACTACCAATCTCTGAATATTTTAAGGATTATTTCTATGAATTTTCTAAAAAGTATAAATTATAACTGTCTATGTTATACAAAAAGATTTAGCAATCCTTATAACAAAACAAGAAAGTGAATATTGTGTGTGTGTGTTTGTGTGTGAGTGCATGTGTGTTTATTGGTAGTCTCATTAATCCCTAGTCTCTACTGACAGTATTAGGGACATTAGTGAAACAGATTTTGCTGAGCCCATTTTCAACCACTCTGACTGTTCTAATATATTTTATTTATTTAGAGACTGTGTCTGTGTTGGCCAAGCTAGTCTCAAACTTCTGGGTTCAAGCAGTCCTTCTGCTTTAGTCTCCCAAGGATCTGAGACTATAGGTCCACACCACTATGCCCAGTTAAAGTGTACTTTAAATAAAGTAGATAATTCTGGGGTGATCTCAAACTCCTGGCTTTAAGTGATCCTCCTGCCTCAGCCTCCCAAAGTGCTGGGATTATAGGCTTGAGCCAACATGCGTGCCAGCTCTGAGGTTATATTAGCATGACACCAGGACAAAATCTGCCCATTTTTATATCAGGAAAAAAAATACTACTTTCATTTAGATGCAGAAAATAGCATATGCCTATTGAGATAAAAAAAAAGTCTAATGTAGACACCTAGGATTATTATTTGATATAACAACATGGAATACATCATTTTGTATCACTGAACTCATGGAAATGCAGTACAGAATGCAGTACAGTAATCCCCCCATACCTGCAGTTTCACTTTCTGTAGGTTCAGTTACCCATGCTACAACACAATAAGATATTTTGGGACAGAGAAAGTAATAGACCATATTCACATAACTTTTATTACAGTATAATTATTGTTTTATTATTGTTGTTAATCACTGAGCCTAATTTATAAATTAAACTTTATCATAGGTATGCATGTGTAGGAAAAAAACAGTATATTTAGGGGTTGTTACTGTCCATGGTTTCAGGCATCCTCTGGGGGTCTTGGAATGTATTCCTCATAGATAAGGAATAACTACTGCATTCAGTCAGGTAAGCTGTTTGCATTGATTTTATTACAAATTGCAATGCTTCCATGGCTCACTTACATGTAATTTGCTGAGGTAACTTCTAACTCTTGCAGAAAATAAAACAGTTTACATAGACACCAAATACTGCTAAAAATCTCTTTTTCTCCTTTTCTCTCTCTTTCCATCCTTCTCCCTCTCTCCTTCCCTGTCTTACTCCCTCATTCCCTCTCTTCTCTTTTCACACTCACCTAGACACTCCTTTCCCTACACACACACACCCACCCACCCACCCCCCTGGGCATAACTGAATAGGAAATGTTTATTTTCCAAACTGTAAAAAAAAACCTTATCTCAAACACTGAAAGTCCTTCCTTTTCCTGATTTGGAAATACTAAGTCATACTGAGTCACTTGTAGATTTTCTTTAGCCAGTTTTATTTAAAGCATAAAGTTGTGAGGACAAAATGACTCAGGAATTTGTGGTGCGCTATTAGAGCTTTTCACTTTTAGGATGCTAGTTCATATTCCAACGACTTAGTATTAGTTAAAGATTGATGGGTTGTTTGCTTTCTAGAAGAACCTGAGGAGCTCACTATAACTTCACCTATTTTAACCTACATATGGCCTAGAGTTTGTTTTTTAATAAATTTGTTTCTAGGTAAGGGCATATTCAAGGAATTCAATAAAAGGAAATAGACCCAGTAAGAGTTTTTGAATAAGAAACTGTTACCTTACTCATTTACGTCTATTACTTCCACTGTTAATTGATTGACTGAGGCAGAGTTTTTGCTCTGTTGCTCAGGCTGGAGTGCAGTGGCACGATCTCAGCTAACTGCAACCTTCACCTTTTGAGTTCAAATGATTCTCCTATCTCAAGTCTCCAAAGAAGCTGGGCTTACAGGTGCCTACTACCATACCCAGCTAATTTTTTCATTTTTAGTAGAGACAGGGTTTCATCGTATTGGCCAGGCTGGTCTTGAACTCCTGACTTCAAGTAAACCACCGTTTCTGCCTCCCAAAGTGCTGGGATTACAGGCATGAGCAACCATGCCTGGCCTTGATAGATCTTTAAAAGTGCGGTTTGTTAAAATGATCAGAAAGTTAAACTGATACACAGTTGATTACATTGCCATTGATATCAACGAGAAATAAGAACTGTAGCTATAGTGGTTAAGTTGAGTAGTCAGAATCTATATGTCTATATCTATCTGTGTTGATTTAGATGACTGGATAAATGAGTCATGATTCCTCCTATCATGTGGTAATACCAAGGTCAGAAAAATCATTTATTATGATCTATCTTATGTAAAAGCCTGTGGAGTTACTTTGTTTTTCTCTCATAAGATGTCAAAATGTGCTTTCTAGAATTTTTGAATAATTTTTGCTTAAATTCAGTGTTAAAGTTGGAGACTGAAACAAATTTAAATCTTTTGTTAGCCAAAGAGTAAATCAAGCTTATGTGGGTGCAATATATAACATGACTACCCAAGAAATTTGTAAAAAAGATAGTTGTCTAGAAATTAGGTACAGAGTTGTCATTTCCTTCTCTGATAACTTTTATTATAAAAATAATTGAAGGTAAATAAACTGTAAAGAACACATCATCTCAAGCTATGCCAAATGAGCACCTAAATAAGTCCTTTTTCAATAAATGCCACCAAATGGATGTATTTCTGTAGCTTATGGCTAAATTCTGACAGAGGGGAGGTGCCTTCACCGAGTATTTTCTCTCTGAAGTTTTCATGGGCGGGGAGGGTGTGTGGGTGTGTGTGTGTGTGTGTGTGTGTGTGTGTGTGTGTGTGTGTGTGCGCGCGCGCGCGCGCGCGCGCTCGCTAGTTTATATTAGGTTAGGGTTTTTAAAAAGCCAAAGATAGCCAAAATTAGTCTAGAGAGTTAGACTTGCTGCCAAACTGAAGAAATAAGTTGGTTTCAGTATTCTTCATTGGCTTCTCAGTCTTAAAATTTGGAGATCTAAATACTTGATTTGAGCTGCCTGAAATTACCCAGATGACTTTGGGTCCTCTAGAGCTGATTCAAGGAAGTCATTTCAGCTGCTGAATAATCAAGGCAGTACCTTCCTCTAGTGTTGGTTTCAGCCCACACCTTACAATCGTTGGATTTCTGAATCTGTCTCTGAACTCATAATTATTGTCTGGACCCTGCATGCAATTAAATTAATTTTGCAAGGATGGGAATGAAATATAGGTATTATTGGCAGCAACGGTAATCCCCCAAAACAGAATGACAGATATTGTGATGGTAATAATGTTACTGCCCTGTTAATACCTCTGAAGATAAGATACACTTGAAAAATAATGTGAAAACTGAATTTGTCCTTGACTTGAAAATCTGAGAATCACATAAAATGTTTGTTAATTTCTTAAGCTAGTAAATATCATTAAGAGAAATGGACACTTATAATAAGATAAGGTTGTGTACATA